CCCCTCTAACTATTTCTTTTTAAGTAAGTACTAGTCGCTACTCTATTAAAAAATATATATTACGAACTTTTTAACTTAGGTATAGGTTAGAGCGAACCCTAATTAGCCCTATATAATTACTTAGTAAATAAGGGATTACTCCTAGTATTTACTAAGCCTCTAGTAATCCTCTTTTAACTTCTTAATTATTATAATATTTTATAGCCGGTTTAAGAGGGTAGTATAGGGGATTTTTTAGTTTATAATAGCCTTCCGGATCGACTTACTAAAGCTAACGTCGTATTATACGTTTTTAACGTGTTTTTCTATGTATTTAAGTATAGCGAATTTGCTAGTAATTTTAGTATAATTTTTGCGATTTTTTTTGATTATTTATTACTTATGTATTATGGTGGTGGTGGTGTTGAAGGAGGGAAAAAATTGTCTAAATTGGGTGATCCGTCGTGGGGGGTGATCCGTCGTGTGGGGTGGGGTCTTACTCCCCGACCCAGTTGGCGGAGAAGCTACCTACGTTATCCACAAATCCTCTATCCGTATCACTCAATCTTAATCTTCTGCGGAGTTGACTGGACCTATGGATGGAGCGACTCATGAGTGGATTGAGCTAAGATTGCCTAGCATCTAGTCTTCTGGAAAGCCCAAGGAATTCCAACTGGAACATTATTCAAATAGTGTCGGTTTACGGCTGGCCCGCTAGAGCTTCTGCTAGGTAGCCGGCCGGTTGACCTGGCTTTTCTCGAGCCGTGGTAAGTTTTTAACCTGCAAAGTGCGGCTTTCGTCGGGCGGGGGCGGAGCGGAGCGATATGGCTACTTATCATGCTGTCACTGACAAACGCCATCACCAAGTGCGGGCGAGCTGACACCATGTTGACGAGCCGAGCCACTAATCACGCTGCTAGGCTTCCCGAATCCGCGTTACACTCACCTAGCCTGACGGTAAGGATGGGGGCCCTGGAGATGTTCTCGAAACATTCTGGCCTCTCTTCCCCGAGATGACAATCCGGAGATTACGACTGGGTAACCTTGTCATACGGGCCCGTCGTTTGTTTGTCTTGCTCTGTCTGTCTGAATTGTGCATCACTCGGAGTACACCACACGTCTGGTGCATCTTGTATCTAAAGCAGCGGAGCACTTTGGGTCTTGTCATGATTGGAACTAATCCGTGTCCAACTGAGGGCACACATCTGCATGTTATACACGCACACAACCTGCAGAACCAAGTTGTGGCTACCTGACCGGTCGCCTCTTCCACTTCTTGCGGGCATTATCGTCCTGAAATTCGATTGCACCAGTAGAAGGCTCTCTAGCCTTTCCCTCTTTCCTCTCACCGAGATATCCGCACGCTTGGATAAAACAAAAAGAAAACAGAAATCCTCGTCAATGGAATGTATCCCACAAAGAGTGTTCCAACCAGATCGTCAAGAACGGGATTGGGTAGTCGTATGTACGGGTAGAAAAAGTAAGAAATTAAAATAAAAAATGTTTCGCTACCATGACAATGCTGAGCCCGTCAGAAGCTGCGGGCAGGGATCAGTGCCGAATCGCAAAGACAGGAGACGCCTTCAACTCAACGGCTGCCGAGAACAGAATCGTCATCGTCGCCTCGTGAGTGGGAGAACATCTCCCGGGGTATAATGACAAACCTGAAATGGAAAACAATGCAAAACAGTGCCGCAAATCAAATATCAAATCCGCACTCCTGTCGACGACGGCTTCTTACCCAGCGTCATTTGGCTCAGCGACAATGTCCTGGCTGCCTTCTTTCGCTGGGGGTCTTCGTCCTCGTCGCGCAACTCTTCCCCGAACGCGCCGTAGCCGTGATGCTGCTCTTCCCTTGGCGTCGCGAAAACCTCCGAGTACGAGTCCTCGTCTCCGGGGCCGGTCCCAACGCCAGAATCTTCAGCCAAAAATTGCCGATTCCTGGAGGCGGTTTCCTCCTCCTCATCGGATGAATCCTGGTCAAAGGCAGACACGCTGCCAAACGACTTGGCAGTTGGGGGAGGCTCCATTGCCAGAGACATGCGGCCGTGACCGCTGGGCCCAGAGATCATATTCAGGCGTCTCGTCAACTTCTTGACCTGAGACTCTAGGGCCTGTCGAGAGGCTCTCTCCGTCTCCAGCAGCGCGAGAAGCATCGTGTAGTGATCTGCTGTGAAGGTCTCTTGCGCCCTGTTCGGCTCGACACGAGATAGTGCTGGTAAGCTCGTCACGCCACGGATGGTGGAATTCGAGGTTGGCCTATTCATGGATGCAGGGAGTTGAAGAGAGCCCACATACGTGGGAGTCTCGCCGAAGGAGGTGTGAGACTCCTTTGAGTGTGCAGAGCTGCTGTACCGGGAGACTGGGGCTTGCTGGCGCGAGAGTTGCTGCAGTGCCGGATTGACTGCGGTGCTTGTCGTCTGAGAAGATGGATTCGAACCCGGAACCGATGGCGCGAGACGTTGCGGCTGGCTCATGTGGATCTGGAATCCAGGAACAGAGTTGCACAGATGCGTCACCACGTCCTCCACACGGTGCATCCTCTCCTCCAGCGTCTCTATGCGCGTCTCGATGCTGGCCGCCTGCGTGATCTTCATGCCAGCCATGACATTCATGTGCGTCAAGTTCCCAAACGAGAATGGTTGAGGTGGTGTGTGCACCTGTCCCTGCTCGATTGGGGATTCGGGCATGCTCATGGGAGGGGCCATGCCCGTGAACTGGTTTTCATGGTCTGGAATATTGGATGACGCCGGCGATGCGATGAAGGCTGGGTCATAGCTCTCTCTCCAATATCGGATTTCGTCGCTTCTGCGCCGAACTTCGGATCGTCCTTCTGGATTCTGCATTCCACTGAGACTCCTGGATCGGCGCTTTTGGCTAACATCACTAGTGATGGCTCGCCCAATTTCTTCGGGGTCATCGTCATCTGTGAAAAGGCGGCTCCCGCGGACGTGGGTGCTTGCAGGACGAGGCGAGAGGCCTGCAAGTTCTCCCTCGCGACTCCTGAAAGGAGCCGAGTAGATCTGACTTGTCGTGGCTGTGGCCGCCCTCTTGTGGCCTTGATACAGAGATGGGTCGACGTTGATTGAATTGCGCGCACTCTCAATGGCGGTAATGTCTTGGGGCCCTATGGAGTGAGACCGTAATGCTCTGTCGTACTCCGTGATCGGCAAGGACGCCGATCGCTTTGGTTCGGCTTCCTTGACTCGGCTTAACCCGGAAGTGTCCTGTTGGTCCCCCCGTCAGTCTCCAAGTTCAGAAAGAATGCTATGGTACGGGAGCAGCCGGTGCCGAAACTTACGCTCTTGTGTTGGTTCGAGGCGTTGTACGTCGATACGCGCTGCGAATCGGTCGAGCCCTGAGAGCCCGTCTTCTTTTTGCGACCAAAAAGCTTCCCCAACGCGCCGCGCAATGTTGACTTTTTGCGCTGTGGACGATCCTTGCTCGCGCCCGTCTGTTCAGATGATGCACTCACGGCGGAATATCGCAAGTTGCTGGATGCGTTTGTTCTTCTTTGTGATTGGGGCGTGTTGGCCTGTGTCGCGTGTGTCGCCGATGTTGGTGATGATGCTGAACCGGAGCCAGAACCGGCGGAACCCGTTGGTGCAATCACCGAGTCTGCTCTCGGGGCCTGTGAAACTTCGGGCTGAGGCTGAGGGACCGAGACAATCGACCCGGCCCTTTGTTCGGCCTGCGGCGGATGCATCATTTGTTCCTTCATGTCGCCCTCGGTCAGAGGCGTAGCAATCCCGGTACCCGGGTTGCGCATTGGGAATTCGTCGTCGACTGGGCTAGGGATAGGAATCGGGCCTGATATTTTGCCCCGAATGGACTGGCCCGTTAAAGATCGAGGTACTGCGCCAGGAGCGGCGGGTGGGTTGGCCGACTTGAAGAGGCCCATGGCAGTGCCAGCAATTGGTGATTACTTCGTGCGTGGCTCTAGGCTAGAGCGAGTGTGAAGGAGGCCAGAGGACGAAGAGCGTTGTATTTGATAGCTGACCCCTGTTATGCCATGAAGTGTGGTGAGGTCCGAAGAGAGATGACGGAGAAGGGTATAGATATTGTTGGTGAGACCCAAGAGGATTGCCAACGGGATGCGTCCGGTGCCGTGCCGTGACGATTTGTTTAGTTCCAATGCCAATGTCAATGCCCGGTTCGCCAGCCCAGGCTGGGTGGGATTCTTGATCGGACGCCCCAGATGTCTAGGCCAGGTGGTGATCTATGCTGGAACCTGATTCATGGTGCATATAGACAGCAATGCGGCTTGTCGTCTAGGCCTGTCGGAATCGGAGAGGCGGGAGAGGTGGCGAAATGCGCCCTCTACAGCCGCGGTGACGCTGAGTATCCGTACGAGAGGAGAGGAGGAAGTCGAGTGGTCAATCAAGGCACGAGAACTGAGGCGAACAAAAGGAGAGAAACCCACGAGGGGACCGAGGATTGGGGTAGTAGTTAAGCAACTAAGAAGGGGGGACCCTAGCAGCGCATGCGTCATGTATCAAAGGAGCACCCGGGCAGGTCTGCGACAGGCTGACGAGGCGGGCCGGAGGAGCAATGTTGATTAGAACGGGCGGTAGCGTATAGCGCGCCGCTTAGCCTGAGAGGTAGGGCGTGGAAGAAGAATGGTTGGTGAAGGGTATGAATTAGACGACAAGAGAGGAATGCGTGATGAATAGTGGTAGAGGCGTAAGGAACGTGAGAGCAAAGTAGTGGTACCTGAAGTAGATCAGGGAGCAAGGAATATGGTACGGCAGGTATTCGTACTTGAATAATAAGCCGATAGGCAAGTAATAGGTAATAGTAGATGTGTTGTAAGACTGGTCGGGGAAGAAGCGAAGAGATGCGGTTGGTTCAGAAGATGCTTCTTTATTCCTTGTTCCGCGTGTCTACAACGGCAAAAAGCACAACACGGCAGAGGGCAGGAGGAAAAAGAAACAAACAAGGACAGAAAGGGCGGGAGAAAAGGGAAAGCAATGGCATGTATCTGTATCGGTTGTTCTTGCGCACGATGTGTACAATGTACTTTACGAGGCACACCAGACTTTACAACGAACCAGCAAGGGTTCCTGAAGGGGAGGGACTCGAGGAGATGGAAAGACAAGGGCGGGAGGCTCTCTGATGGGGACCATGTATCCGTACACTACGGAAGACCAGAGAGGCAGATGCAGAACAGACGCAGATGCTAGCGCGATGAAACAAGTATGCATGCACGACCAGGAGGATACGGACCATTGGAACGCCGTCAATGGTGCGTATTGGCCCGCGTCTAGGATACAGTGATGGGGCAAGTTGCAAGCCGCAAGCCGCAAGATTCGAGAAGAAGGACAGGCCAGCCGTTGGTTTTCTGCGTCTACGGCACGGACAGCCACCGTCCACGCAGACGCGTTTTCCAAATCTGGACTGAATGGTCATGGCATATTATGGTACATAATTTGCACATCATGTCTTGCCCTCGAACTTGTCAGGGTTGAGTCGAGAGAAGAGAGAGCGAACAGAGACTCAAATTGCTCAGCAGAGTAACGGGATGGGGCAGCAGGAAAGGTCCGAGGTCAACGACAAGCTTGAAGCCGCAATGGAAGCCGATGCATCCCATTCCACGACGGTTTCCATTTCATTTCGTCAGGGTGCCCTCCCTGGTGGTGCCCCCGGCGCCCCTCGTGGCCTTCGCCGTCGCCGTTCGCTCGCCGCCCCCTGCTCCATGTCGTTCTTGGCTTCCCTGGCTCGGGGGATAGCCCTTGTTTGAGGCCAGTGCTTGGGGCGCCCAGAGCAGTGGGGAAGGAGAAAGGACGTGGGACCCCCCTTGGCTGGAAGAGCATGTTGGAGTTTTTGGACTCTTGGATGAGCCATTGGATGAGCCATTGGACATTTGGGGGTCGTGGACTTGAGTCTCGGAGGACTGGAAGTGGTGGTCGTCGCGCTAGAGGCGCAGACGGTGACACCTCGACCAACTGAACTCGGCGTCTTTGCCCATCCAAGGCAAGCCACCTTTTTGTTGTGCAGGTCGGAGCAGGCCATTTGCCAGGGGACACAGAGCCGGGACTAGACGTGAGCTGCAAGAGTTGCGTGTGGTGTCTGTTGTTGTGGTAGGTCTGTGTGGTTGAGAATGAGTCGGGATTGGACGAGGAACGTGGGTGGACGTTGACTTTGACCAATTGTCACGTTTGAGATATCGTGTGTCGTCCATACGCAGGAGGAGGGCGTCTTGGGCGTCGTAGGCGTGTATGAGCGACGTGAGGGATGAGTGGAATGTGGGAGAACGAGGGGCGTAGACAGTGACCTAGGTCTTGGGCACATTGTACCGGTATTCGATACTCGCCATTCAGGCAAGCAACAAGCCAGCGACGTCGGCTCTTCTATCCATCAACAAACAATGTTCCAGGCGTCGATCAAGGGAACGGGTGGTGAGCGGGGGGCGGGCATGTTGAAGCGGAATCATCGTGAGAAGTGGCACGAAAATGGCCAATATCGGGGCTCGTTACACCGACTGAATAAGGTATGGTATGTGGGCAGTGTATTGGCAAAAGCAAGTACTCCGTTGTGCCCATACAAAGCGATGAAAAGAGGCCTGGGTATCAATCGTTGGATTCTCTCATCTCGTCAGTGGCAGTTCCAGTTCCAGGACCACACTTTTCCCACGGATATGCAATGTCTCAGCCTCAACGCAAAACAGTTTACCCTCCCGAATGCCTAAAAGGTCATTGTGATCCACGCGACCTGCTTGTTAAACGACCGTGACCACCCCCACATGCGCGACTCACCTGCACTGACAGCTGTGAGATGAGGAGTCGACGGATGGTACGAAGTTTTTGTAGATGTCTAGGGTACCAGGTACGGATACCATGCCTGAGAAGTACCTCTGGTGGGGACTAAGGTACTTTACTGTGTAGAAAGCTCCTCCTGCCTGCGTGACTGCCGCCATCTGTGGTCCTGACATGATATCTGCAGGCGGCACTGAGTAAGAACTTTCCGTGGGTAACTACTTCGTAAGGATTCGAGAAGAAGAGTAACGGCCTGGGTGGAAAGAGTATGGAGTCTGTGGAAAGGCAATTCCCGGCCCTGCCGGCTCCATTTCACCCGGATTGCTGGTCCGACTTCTCCTCCGAGGAGCTGCCGCATTTGGCGTCTTGTTTCAGTCTTTGCTTCCTTTTCTTTTTTTTTTCTACATCAATATGGGCCTAACAAGGGAACTCGCTCCCGCTGCCCGTCCCGCCGTGGCTCATTCCATGAATCCATGTTGAGGTCACAGGTCGGAGGTCACTTTTGTGTCTTGTGGTCCGTGTGTGTCAACCTCACCTCGCATCGCCAGATACGAGACTACCAGTACCTACCTTCATCCTCGTTTGGTCCTCGGGTTGCAACAAGCCTGCACATACCGATAACAAGAGCCAAAGACAGTCATCGAGAGTCGGTGTGTGATTGATGATGCCGCCTACGGCTACATACTACTACCCTACACACGGATACTGCCACCCGCTACGACTCTAGATTCGCATCACTCGACCCGGTTCTTGGCCTTGTCGCTACCAAACCCCGACTCTATCCGTGCTGATCGGGTGAAGACATCGACCAGCGACAGGCCTCGTCTCTCAAGTCCACGCTCTTGTATGATGAATCCTAGTCGTTCTTCGAGTTGACGGACGAGTCGTGGACGAGGTCAAAGCCATGCTGCTCGAGGGTGCTGGTAATTCTTACCAACAATCCACACTGCGTCTAACCTCTTAGTCTGTCGGCCATCGGCCAACACCATCGGAAATCGACCAAGCCTAGCTAGCATCTTCACCCGACATGGCGTCCCAGATCCCGCCATCCAAGACCTCTATCGCCAACTAGTCGTCCAATATCATGACTCCGCGCTAGGGTATCAGCGAACGCCTGCCTTACCCCAATAGGAAGTGAGCGAAGGCCCCGGCAAACGGAATGCTGGAATTTCGAGCGTCCTGCCATCAAGAATCAACGGCACTAACTCGTCTCGTCCGCCTGGCCGTTTGCACTATCTCATTTGCGGTTGGATGCCTCTGTCACTCTGACTGGCGCCGCCGCCGTCAGACCTGACAGCCATTCACACTAGATTCTAGCTGGTTGAATCCCGATTGCTCAACGACTCTTCATCTTTTGTGGTAGCGCTGGCTTCAGCTCCTCAGAAGCAACGCTGCACTTGCAGAGATGTGATTGCTAGCCTCTCGGACGAATCCAATGTGCCACCGAGCCGCAGGTTACGACGGAGTTTTCCTCACTTGGATCGCTGCAACCACATGCCACGTCCTCCTGCATGCACCTGCCACCTGCCTGCATTACCTATTCTTGGTTCACGCCAGCGGCAACCTCTGGATGCTGCGGCACAACTACCTCATTCAATACTCCAATACTGCGTAGGAATCAAGAAGTTTCCATCACAACTCACTTTGAGCCCCTTCGTGTAGGAGCGAAACCCTTTCTTAGCCGTGTCTTCCAGCCCCCCCGTCGACGACGTGCAGCATCTTCGTGCCCAAAAGACAGGCCAGTATCCATACAACTGCATTTGGGACAGCCCCACAACGCAGGATTCAGAGGAGGCTAAACCACCACATGGCTTGCAAGCCTTTTGCCCGTCGAGCAGGACCCCCGCTGTCCCCTATTGTCTGCCTAGATCAAGACCATTCCAATTCTGGGCGAAGCTCGATGACAGTCCTACGGCTCGTATCAATGTGGACAGCTTCTCCGCAACGCAAAATGGTGGCTTCTTTGGCCTGCTCACCCTGACTCGTGGGGGGTTTTCAGCGACGGCTAAAGGCACCGCGAACCCGCCGTGATGCTTTTCCCTTGAGGTTCTGGTTTAAAACACCTTGCCAGAGTCGCACAGAACAAAGCGTCGGAAGAATTATTGGCCAGTCAGCTATTTTCGGTGCCTATATGCGATCACGATATAGCTTCGTCCAGGAAGGCGGCGGCTCCCTCGTGGACAACCAACATCATGCAATGCATATTGCAGTTACGTGGGCGATACAGGTAGCAAAGCCATGCCAAACACCCACACGGAGTGCTCGTGCCTAGTCAATCACGTCAATGTAGCCCCCCTAGTCCAACCTCGATCCAACACCTGAGAAGCTATCCCGCTCCAGCAACGGTTTGATCGTCTTGCACAGTGGACCTTGGCGGAGCATCATATAGCGAGACAACCGACTTATGATCGCCCGTCAACCCAGAGCACGAGCGGCCGGCATCTATAGGAGCCGAGTATAACAAATGGCACACGGCTGAAGCTGCTGGCAAAGCACATTACTCGCCGGCGCTCTCTCAGCCATCGGAACACACATCCAATTGGTGGTTTGCCCCGGAATTAGCCATGTCTCATAGACATGGAGATGAACCATTATTCTGGAAGCGAGTTGATGTGCCGACCGAATGTGAGTGATCTGGGCTGTGCAATGCCCTAGCTCACACTATACATCCGGATGTCTAAGCTTCCCAAACTTGGCTGCGCAGTCGGGATGGTACAATCTGATAATTACAGATGTGATAGCCAACAAGATATATTCGCTGCGCGGAGTCAAGGCAGAGTGCACAACGCAGCGAGAGTCAACGCAACCAGATATACAGAGTACAAGATAGGCGACAGGCTTTTTCACTTTGGTTTTGTCTTGACGACAGACATGGCTTCAACCCAACACAGGAGAGAGAGCCCTGGTCAGATTACAGATGATATCTTGTGCCAAGAAGGATCAAGACTGGTGCGGGCAACCCAATATCAGCCGCAGTCTCAGGTCTGCTTTCAAAATACTTCATCCGTACGAATAGTCCGCAGACTCCGTACATAACCCCGAAGGCACCGCGAATTCCAGCGCACAATCTCGTCGAGACCGAGAGGGCAACGTCCCAGTCAAGCATCCCCCTCCTCCTCGGTAGGAGAATATGGCGGGTCTGGCCACGCGAACAAGGATGGCACAGGTCGCCAGACGTGAAAAGTAACCTGAAACATACATGGATGCCACTTTCTTCGTCTGATCAGTGACGGCTGACATCTGTGCCCCCGTCCCTCCACTCCAAAGGACCCAAAATCTTTCTCTCCCGTCTTCTTTCGTCCGCTGCCCAGGACCGCGAACACGACACGACAAGTCGCGACCCAAGTCGTCTATGCCCTAGCGCCCATCAACTTGCGTCAACGGACGCACCCTCCCCCAATGAACCCCTGGTGGGCCGCGAGCATGGTTGACGGCCGATTCAAAATTCTACGATACGCCGCGCCAAAAGTCAGACAATGCAGCCTTTTCCTGTTTTGGCATCGTTGGGAAACCAGCACATCCCGTCGCATAAGGATTCATCCCAGCTACCCCTCCACGGCGGGCCACCACATCGACAAAGCCGGTTCGTCGGTATTCCAGATCGTCTGTTCTTTCTTGCCACGAGTCCTCTCGTCGCATAAAGGTCGACATTGGAGAGGGGCGGACCTTGCATGGAAGATGGTCCGTCGGTAACGCCGCCAGCCCACGATCTCCCCAACCGTCCCAAATTTGGGGACCTTTCAGGACCCTTGAAGTGACGATAAATCCGGGTAACGTAGATCAGCGTTCTCTTCGAGGAAATCCATCCACCGTTTGAGAAAGTTGCTGCCTCTGATCATGGCACAACTCAAGTTAGCACAAAAAGAAAAGAAAAAAAAGAAGAAGAAACAGGGCCGAGATGTTGGACGTTTGACGCGGCTCAGCAGATGTCTCAGGATAAGCCTGCCACCATCTGTGCAGACTGCAGAGGTACTCTGCGCCGCACGCCCCAAATTCAACTAGGGAAGGGGAAGGTTTGGGGAAGAAGGGGGAAAAGAAAGCAATTTTCTCAAACCGACTCACCTCTTGACTGTCTCTGAATCTCCGATCACCGTCAGCGAGCGTTTGGGTCTCGTCATCGCCACTAAGAACGCATTAACATTCATGCGCTAACGGTCGGCCGCATACTGGGGTCTTCCCAGCCTGGCCGCGGCCGGCGGGATCATCTCTCGTTTGAAGCTTACCGTTCAGTCGGCGCTTCTCGCCCAGGAACCCTACTTCTCCTACGGAGTTGCTCCGTACAAGGCTGACAATGACGGCCTCTTTTTCACGGCCCTGGAAGCCGTCAACGCTGCCCAGCTCGATGCCAGGGAACCGTTCTTTTAGGGGCGCTAAAATGGCGAGCTGCGTTCGGTTCATCCGATGTCAGCTTTCATGCCTTGCGGCTCTTCGCGACGGACCCAAGATTTCCAAACAGAAGATCCATAATCAAAGGGAGGGAAGGGGGGTTCGTTGGTTTGACCAGGCTTACCTGAGCGTTGTAAGGGGTCACGACGGCGATGTCCTCTGGCTTCACTCCCGCGTCGACCAGCTTCTGGACGTGTTGCCGGACCAAGGCCCCTTCCATCTCGTTGCTCTTGCTCTCCCCGTGCAAGCTGAACTTTGCCTTCTTGACGGCGTCCTTGTCGTCGTCCTCGCTCCTCTCGGGGTAGTCGCCCCCTTGCGTATCAATGAAGACGACCGGCTCGTTGGTGTCTTCCGTGTCCTCGACCTCGTACGGCAGGTCTCTGAGCAAGCGCTCCTTGACCGCCTCCGCGGCGATGAGCTTTCCTTCGTAAAGCTCGTCCGACGGGAACCTCATGATGTTCTCGTGCATGCGGTACTGTGTGGTGAGCATACGCTTGATGGATGACCCGTGTAGGGCGAGAAGCCTATCAAACAGGGTCGTCTCCAGCGTCATGCCCTTGATATGCTTCTTCTCCGCGTCTTCTATGGGGGCCGCTGACTTTGCTGCCGCCGGCGGCTTCACCTTGGAATTGAGCGACTTGATTGTCGGCGGCAGCTGCAGATGATCGCCGGCACAAACGGCCTTCTTGGCCGACAGTAAAGGCACCCAGCACTGCGCCTCGAGCGCCTGGCTCACCTCGTCAATGATGACGACGTCGAACTGCTGGTCCCGGAGCTGGTGTCCGCCCGCGCCGTGCAGCGTCGCCAGGACGACTTTGCTCTCGCGAATCAAGTTTGCGACGCAGCCGCGCTCGCGCTCGCGGAATTCCTTGCGGAGCTCCTTGAGGTCGGCGTAGATTTGGCGCTTCTCGCGGCCGTTGCGCGTTTTTTTGATAGAGGCCTGTTTTGCGTCCATTTCGGCGCGGACGTCCTTGACGATGGCGCCGGCCTCGGAGGTCTGGGTGAGGACGTCGAGGGAGTGGGCGAGGACGCTGGGGAGGAGGCGGGCCGGGTGGCCGAGGCGGAGGATGGGGATCTTGTGCGGGGCGAGGCGCTCTACGATGTTGTCGACGGAGATGTTGGAGGGGCCGCAGACGAGGATGCGGAGATTGAGCTTGATGAGCTGGAGGATTAGTTCGATTAGGGTGTGTGTTTTGCCCGTCTTTTTCCTCCTTTTTCGTCAGCCATGGCGTTTCTTTCATCGGGTCGGTTAGGGGGTCAAGTAAGACTCACGCCTGGCGGGCCGTGGATCAGGGCAACTTCGCGGGACGCGAGGGCGAACCGGATGGCGTCCTTTTGGGAGTCGTTGAGAGACGGGTCGATCCATTGGATCTTTGCGAGCTCCGGGTCGGATGCTAGGTCCGGGGGCACCGGTGACGGGCTCGAGAGGCCGAAGAGGACGCGCATGAAGGCCGTGTATTCCGATTCCGTCATCTTTTCGATCTTGCCCATGGTTTGGCTCATCCTGTAGGCGCTTGTTAGTCCTGTCTGCTCCTCCGCTAGGTGCTGCAGCATTGTGATACTGCCACAAGTCGTCAATCACGGAGAGCCCAGCCTGCTTCCGTGAAGTCTCGCACCAAGTGACGCAGCTGACAGACTCCATCTCTGTCAAGCATTTGATCCTTGACCGACAGACGACTGAAAAGGAAATGAATCAAGAACAGAAGATCTCACCTCCGGTACGTGACATCGTCAGCAACCTTGACAATCCAAACCCTCCCCGTAAACTCCCTCTCCTCCCCCTTCCCCTCATCAACAGCAACACCAACAAGCTCCCTCCTAACCCTCGTAACCACCCCCCTCGCCCCTTTACTCTCGAGCTCCTTCACCTCCTTCTTCTTGGCGTTTCCCGCAGGCTGCTCCGAGATGAGCACAATGTCCCCCGGACGGAGGCCATGCTCGGGTAGTTCACCGGAAGAAGAAGCAACGGCGGGATCGGAGGATAATTCGAGGACGGTGCGGCCGCCTAGACCTGTGCGGCGGGCGGTGACGACGAGGTTGGGCAGGGCGAGGCCTGCGCGCTGGAGGGCCGTGGGGGAGTGCGAGGAGACGAGGGCGGATGATTCCGAGACTTCTGCGGCGAGTTCGGCTTCGAGGAGGGTGAGTTGGGTTGTTGCGAAGGAGGGGGGGGAGAGGGGTTCTGTTGAGGGGGACATGTTTGTATTTTGGGGAGGGGGGTCTTTTCTGTTCCCTTTATTGACGTGGTCCCAATGCTTCTTTTTTTTCCCCCCCTTTCCTGGCGCCTCTTTCTGAGTCAGGTTGTCTTGTTGGCGGGATGAGTTCTCGTGGCCTCATGCGCGCGCAAGTAAATGGGTGGTGATATTGAGATTGTGGGAAAGTGAGGTGAGGGAGCTGCGGTCGAGATGAAAGGGTGTGTGTCGTTGTCTGCGCCTGTTGTAAGTGGTTCTGTGCGGGTTCCCCACAATGTGAGGTGCAGCTGGCTCAGCTTTTTTGACGTCATCTGATAGGTTGGGGTTTTAGAGGGGTGAAAGCTCTCGACGCTCGGCTCTTAGCTTTCAGGTAAGGAGATGAGATGAGATGAGGTGCCCGAACGGGCCGGATACCTGCGTCTTGCGATGCGTCTCTGATGCAATTGCCCTTTGTGGGTTTCGCGTCGGACAGAGATTGGCAGGGTAGATTACATGTAATACAAATATGCATGATGCCGGTTGAGAAAGGGTTGCTCAAATGGCGAATTCGTCTTCAAGTGAGCGTGCTCACTGAGCCGCCCAATTTTGCAAGGATTAAATTGGACTTGCTTAAATATTCACGTTGTCGATTTCCGCAGCCATTACAGTATCGCATTCAAGTGTACTCTGTCTCCTAGCTTTCAAGGCGGATTTCTCACGTCACCGTAGAAAATTGCTGGTTGTGCTACAGTGTCCTCGGTTGTGTATTATCAGGGTATTATATACTCATTGCTGCGTCATATCAGAAGTCAATAGACATAATGTAGATAACGCATCTTTCAACCAACTCAAATCCCAAGTGTCACCTCAATGCAGAACGCTCTCATTCCAAACATATGCAGCCAGACTTAGGCACCAAACATATGAACTCCCCGTATAAAGACCAAAACCTGTCACATGATGGACAAATCACCGCTCCCTGCTCGTAGGACTCACAACCACAACCACAACCAAGCTCACAGCCATCAGCGCAAACGCCACCATGGACACGATGATAATGGTCCCGCGGCTCGCGGGGAACTTGCCCTTCATCACCCACTGCTGCGCGCGGAAGTAACGCTGGTAGCCCAAAAACAAAATGAGGATGCTGATGCCCAGGAACGTCGCGCCGAGCGGCTTGCCCAGCTGGCGGAGGGTGTGACTGTTTGGGTCGTCGGTCCCCGGCGTCGAGAGGGACGAGTTGAGGCGGAAGAGCTGCGTTACGGCGATGCCTATGGAGGCGAAGGCGAGAGATGTGCGGAGCCATGCGAGGAATGTTCGTTCTGTTTTTTGGTGAGAAGAGTTAGTTAGTCCCGGTTAGCTGGAGCTGTATAAGGCTGTCATGATTCTTCATAGGTGAAAGTGCCAAAGGAATTCGCAAAAAAGAGTAGCTCATAGCGTGGAGTCGAACTCAAGGGGTCGAGGTCCGTCTCGAAAGACATGTGGAAATCCCTAGTCCCCAGCTGAGTGTTCCACTGAGCTAAAGCGCCCGGGGGAGTTGGCCCCCGTTTGCCTGGGAGATGGAGGAGGATGGGTTATTCATGAAGGGATACGCTGTGGCCATTGGCAGCCGTAGAGAAGCGTTGAACCGTGATGGGTTGGAGAGGCGGCTGAACCGTCTAGGTTGAGGGGGAAGCTGACCCGGATGGGCCGAGCTGTCGTGACAAAGTGCGAGCGCAACACGTACCGAGCGCCAGGTGATCGCGAGCCACGCTGCCCTTGTTCTCCAGCTCAATGCTCTGGAAGCTGGACAGCAGGATC